ACAACCAGGAAGAAAGGTTGGATGGAAGCTTCCGGACCTGAACGGAGCCTGGCTCCTTGAAGCAGCGTCATCTTGGACTGGAAACAGGAATGCAGAGGAGAACACGAAGCTGAACTTCCTACAATAATTTAAGAGTGAAAAAAAAAATTTATAAAAATGTATTTGTTTGTTTTGTTGGGTTTTTTTTTCTTTTGATAATGCATACTACTTTGAAATGTATGTGACAGCGCTAGCTGTTGTTTTAACTTATTGGACTTGACATGAAGACTTTTGCAGCTATGGTGTCATTTAATGTACACTGAAGTTCTGAAGATTGCCACTGGGTGAGATTAAAAAAAAGACCTCTGTCTTAAGCCATTAAAAGCACTATGACTATTTGAAAAAAAAAAAAAAAAGACACTGACCAAATTTGCTACTTTTTGAATAGCAGTTTTTCAAATTTTGTCTGTCAGACTGGACAGTTTAAGTCAAGTAACGTAAATTCCAATTACTGACTGAGGGATAGTCCTTTAAGACTCTAAATATACAACACCTTGTATGTACTTAGTTTCTTGGTGATATGTTTTGAAATCTTTGTAACTCACACGTATAAAATGTGGTTGTACATGTTGTAGAATTGTCTGCAATAGCCTTCTCTAAATCTGATGTAGCATGGTACTCACCTGACCCTGTTATCCTCTGTAGTTAGTCACCTGTGATTATACTTGAGCGAAAACGAACAAAAAAAAAAGAGGTTACACAACAAATAGTTGAAAAGCCTGCAAAAAAGGAAAAAAGTTAAACAAAGGAATATAAGTGTTTTATTTTATTTTTCTCTCTTCTTTTTCTATTTTTTTTTAAAGAATACTTGAGGTTTACAGTTTCGGGCCCTTGTACTTTTTGGCTAAAAGTAAGAGCTTGGCTTCACTTGAGCCCAGTTTACACAGTTTCTTTCAGACTTACCTCTTCCACCCTCTAAGACACTGGTCCTCAGACCGTAATCAGGCCAAGACACACGGAGCTTGGTTTACCTCAGATTAAGTTCACACACATCACGCTATGATCATGCATTTCATGACCAGAAACATGAACCACGGCAGATTTGACTCTGCAGAGGGGGAGCACTCTGCGTTGGCTGCGGGACACTTCGCCCCTCCACTAATTTGTACCTCTGGATTGCACCAATTCACTTAAACCATCGCGTATGTTTATATATCTTTGTAGTTAATGGGCATAAACTGCTAACTAGATATCGAGGTATACTGAAGTTTAAGAAAAAAGCTTTGATTTCAAAATCAAGACACCCAACGCCGGATTTACAAGGATTGAGCCTCTGAGCTAGAGCCAGTTGTACCCTATAATAAACATATTTTACTAATGAAAATTACAAATAGTTAACGCAGTAATGCATTAATCTAATATTACATCCTTAATTTTACATAATGCAGATTTATAGGCTTTCCTATTTTGCCCTAAAATCCTCTCTTGTGTGGAAGATTACCTCATTCCAGGCTGTGCGTTACGCAGTCTTATACAGTCTTATACAAGGGAGATTTCTCCAGTGGCTCCAGGTTGTCCTGAAAAAATAAGAAAAACAGAATTAAAGTTATAATTTTCAAATACTTGAGAATGATTTGTATTTATAAAAAAAAAATCCTAAATATTAATGCCGTTGAGCTCATATGGGTTCAGGAGTTATGTGAAACTCATAGCAATTTGTTGAATTCAAAACATTTTGAAAAAATACATATTTGCCTCCACCCCCCAAAAATTGGTGCCCTGGGCTATTGCCCCTTTAAGCTCTTTCTAAAGTCTGGCTCGGAAGACGCCAGACGATGTGATAACAGTATTGCTCTGACAGTACGAAGCAGAGCTGCTTGTCTCAAAGGTGTTTCTGCACACTACCAGTCAGCTGGCCTAGTTAAAGCCCCTATTTTGTTCTCGTACCTACAGAAAACATATTTCAAGTCACATGTAGACAGTTGTGGCGTGGAAACTAAAAGAGTGCCGGGTCTCATTTGTATTGATGCAAAGTGCAGTTGTCATTTTTTCTACATAAAAACTTTTACATAATTTGTTTTCTTATAGCTTTGCCATGTTGTTTTATTACTAAGGCTTATAAAATGAAAATTTAATCTTGGCCAATGTCTCAAAGTATAAAGTATTTTTGCGAATGAAGAACACAAGTGTTCTTCATTCGCAAATGAAGAACACTTCATTTGTTCTCAAAACTATTCATACTTCTGGGAGATTTAGTTTCTAATTTACTTTCATTGAAACAAGAGGGTTTTTTTCTGCCGAGAAGTTATACAGTAATCTCTCAAGAGTTAAGACAGTTCAAAGGATAACATTGTGAAAAAATAAATGACAAAATAAATGGCAAAAATGATTTACACCCTTCTCAATGATAAAAGTAAAACTATTTATGAGCAGCTTTTTGCATGTTCATCTTTACTATATTTAGTGATGAGCTCCAAGTTTCTGATTCCCATTGCAGTTTATTTCTTTACAAAATATGACAAATCAAATCAATCAAATTTTATTTGTATAGCACATTTCAGTAGCAAGGCATTTCAAAGTGCTTTACATCATAAACCCAAAAACACAAAGTCATGCAACATAGAATAAACAATACATTAAGTCAAGTTCCATCATTACATTTTTAATTGATTAGGTTTTAAGATGCTGAACTAAACTAGTTCTGGTACATTTTATTTATTCCTCCACTGCTATTAACTAACAAAAATCAACAAACTGCTACACCTCTGTTTTGTAGAACAAGAAAAAAAAAGCTGAGTATGTAACGACCAAAGCCTCCCGGGTAGAAAATGGTGAAGGGGCGAAGTGAACTTCTGTTCAGTGGCTCAGATGAACGTTCCCTCCGCATAGAACCGGCATGTGAAAAGCGGGGTGCGTGGGAACGTTCCTCCTCCCTGTTGTGTACAGAGATCCGGTTCTCTGAACGGGTCTTGCAGAGTAAATGACACTTTAACGGAACGACGTGGGCCAACGGTACCACTGCTCGGTGATGCTTGTCATCATCCTGAAACCCTCCAGTCTGTAAGTACAGTATATTAAAGACCCCACACGCCCCGCCCCCTCATATTATCTTTGCCCACTCGTGTATTGTGTCGGTGGCCGTTTCTTTGTCATGCTTGCAGGATGTTCTTTGTGTATTTTTGCCTCTATTTTATACTCTGAACACTTACCTAGATATCCAATACCTCCTGTATGAACTACTTGCAGCACTTAAGATTTTTTTTTTTTGATAATTGTGGGAACTCCGAGAAAGTTTCCCCCCCCCCCCCCAACAAGAGCGTCATCCTTACTTAGCGCCTTTTACTGTACTGTTGGGATTTGGTAGTAAACACTTGCACATGTCTACATAGTTCAGAGGACTCGGATTGTATTATGTAGAGCTATATATATTACACAATAATAAAAAAACCCCTTACATCCTCGGGACAAAACGTGTTGAATATATTGAGATATAGTGTACAGATTTTAATAAACCAAACTCTGTCGAGCCAGTTCTTGTCTGGCAAGCTTGCCCACGTTTTAGACCTTCTCTCAGGGTAGTCTTGCTTTTTAAAGCTTTACTGAAACGGTTTGCTCTCGTCGGTCACGCTGGACACGCGGTGTGGAGAACGACTCTTCAATGAACGATGACGTGGACCTCCTGTGGTCGCTGGAGTCTGAGCTGTCCGGTATAAAAGCCGCGGCTCACCTGGAGAACCGATGCAGTTTTTTTTTCTTTTTTTTTTTTTGTGTAATCCATCACTGAGGATGCGTGTCAAAGTGCAGCGCAGACCGGAAGCACCAGAAGGAGGGTCATTGGGTGGCTTTTTTTTTTTTTTTTTTTTTTTCTCCTTGAGGTCAGCAGACTTGCTCTGCAACGACACGGTTTTATTTTTCTCTCGGAGTCGGAAAAGCTTTTTGTGCCGCTTTTCCCAGCAGCCATCTTCTGGGCATAATATACTCTGATTAGATTTTCTTATGGAGGAAAAACGTAATTGTTTTTCATATTAACATGGTCACGTGAAAAAGAAATGTATTTACCCTGAGCGTGATCTTCTCATGTAAAACATCATCTGATTGTTTTGTTTTGGTTTTTTTGGGGTTTTTTTGCATGTAATTAATTCTGGTCACATGACAAGGGGATATAGACTGTTTGTGTGTGTGTGTGTGTGTGTTATTCTTCTTACACAGGAACAGTGAATCCGAACTTAAGGTCCCTTTTTTTTTACATTAGCAATGTCCATGCATGGTGCTGCTGATTTATATGACTTGCAGAATCATTACAAATCTGTCAAAAGCAGGAGCTCAACAATTCTTGGTTAATATTTAAATTAAGGTTATTTTGTGCCATATGATACGATTCGTGCAGAGGGATTTCTTGTGCGTGGGGCTGTTTGTAACCCAGTTCAGAAAGAAAAGCCTAGCTTTGTTTTCAATTATGAACTTAAAAACTCAATAGTTTTACTTTATAATTAACACTAGTCACTGAAAAGAAAGTAGCCGGCAAGCAAAAATGTAGACGATCGGAAGAAATATTGAGAAAAAAAAAGTGGCTGCAACTCTGGCACTGAGGGTTTGTCCCAAAGAAAATTTGTTCAAAGGCTGCCTGTAAGGAAGGCTCCAAAATGTTTGAAATGAACTGTAAGGCCTCACTTGTCAATCTATCAAATGTTAAAGAATGGTCAATGGTATGCCAATTTTCTTGGAAAATAACTTGCATATGTAAGCCATCAGTCAATACATTTTTGTTTAAGACCTGCTGTGTTGTGTATTTATTTTCTCATGAAAAGGATGCACAGGTAGATATTTTTGCTTGTAGAACTCTATAAAATTGTGTTTCAAGATGTTTCCCCGTTTCATTAACTAGACCGTGAAACATGTGCTTCACCACCACTTAGTATTTTTGCGGTAATTTGGTAGTAATGACTGTGTTTACATTATTGTACCGCGTGGTGTTTCTGAGCCACGCCCCCTCACGTCTGCTCTCTCTCACGTGATGACGTCGCCGGCACGTATGTTGTCGGGCTGGAGATTTCGCGGCGATGGCGACGGAGGCTCGGCGCTGGAAGGGGACGTATTGAAAGCGGGGCTTTGGCTTGGATATGACGAATGCGTATTTGTTGGAGATTGCTTTGCTCTTCAGTTATTCCATTGGCTTCGGATAAATCCTCGGCCGCGGACTTTTCGACACTTCTTTGACTGGTGAGTCAAGCGGCTGTGGTCTCGTCCGCGGTGTGTTTTGACAGAGGCCTCCGTCCCGGGGTCCGCCCTCCATCTCATAACAAAAACACTCGCTCTGAGCGGCTAGCTCCCGCAGCTACGGCTAGCAAGTGAACTTAATCGCTGTTCTGTGGTACAACCAGCGCTCGGACATTGCAACATAACAGCGCATTGCAAAAGTCGTTAGAGCTGGTGGTTTTCCTTAAACGTCCTCTTCGGACTGAGCTCTAGTGAATGCTACTATTTAGCTGAAATAGCCCGACGCTAGCTCGCTAACTGTTGGTGTTAACGTCAGTTAGCTTGCCAAAGAGAACGAAGACCAGTCAAAATGTTAGTTTTCTCCGTCGCCGCTTGAGTACGTTGACACTAAAAAGTGGAGTTAACTGCTACCTGGGTGTCAATAAATAATTCCTCTGTAGTCACATTTATGTTTTGACGCTCAAAAATGAAAATAACGACTGGTTTCATCGTAGCTCGTGTCATACGAAGCCCAGGGTGCTGTAGCATTTTTCTTTTCTTTTTACAATTATTGTGTTCGCAAGCTTTTTTTAGCCGTTACGGCGGCCGGTCGGCGGCGCCCCGGCGTCCCGGGTGTCGGTTTGGACTTTCTCAAGCAGCTGAAGCCGCGGAGGCGGAGGGATGCTGCGGCTCTTGTCACGGGACAGGAGGAACGCCGAGGCTCTAACGGAGCTTATCCTGCCGTGTGTGATTCTGACTGAAGCCAGCCGGGCTCTGCTCATAAGCCTTCCGCTGTAAACAGAGCCGTGCCGTGCCTCGGTCAGATATGCTTTATCAGGCAGCACCAGCAGTAAGAGCAATGACCTCATTTACCTTCTTCTTTGGAGACGAGGCCTTGTTTAAGGGGCTCATCATCTGTTACCATTTCGGCTTTATTTTTTATTTTTTTACTCCCATGTTTCTCTCCTTTTTCCCCTCCCCTTGCCTGGGCACCTTAAATGTTTATGAGTAGGTGTGTTGTGCTGTCCATTCACTGACCCTCTTAGATCAGATTTCAGTCTCTGCAGTAGGAGCTGACCTTTTCAGCTATTTGTTGGGCGGTTTGCTGAGATATCCCTAACAGGTTGCCTGTTTGGAAGCAAGATGTTTGGTTTCTTGTTTTAAAAATGCTCCATCTACATAAACACTTTAGCAATGTAAAAGAACATTACAGCACATAGCAGTTAGATTTGTAATTGTGTTTAAATCTCTGTTCTTGTTCTTTGTGAATATAATTTGTACCACCCTGGCTACAAAATAATCCAGTTTACTTAGCTAAGGCTTTATGTTTGGCAGAGTATTTGTCAGTGTATTTTATTCTCCAATTAATAGCATGCCTTTCATTCATTAATCATTAATCATTCATTAATTGCATTCATTAATGAATGCAATATCATACATTCATTAAATGCATGATAAATTACAGCTCAATAATTTCCATTTACATGATTTATTGTTTTTCTCTCTCTCTTTCTACCAAAAACTGAATGACAGAAGTCTTCAGTCTGGTGCTTTGCTATGAACAAACCCTTTTTATTAGGAGAAATTTTTTTTTACAAAGACTTGATCATTCTTTTTTTTTTTCTGTTATAGGGTTATGTATTTTGTATATTTAAAACAGGGGTGGGCACTCCTGGTCCTCGAGGGCCGGTCTCCTGCAACTTTTAGATGTATCTCTACTTCAACACACCTGAGTCAAATACTGAGGTCATTAGCAGGACTCTGGAGAACTTGATTGTATTCAGCTATTGGATTCAGGTGTGTTGGATCAGGGAGACAGTTGCAGGACACCGGCCCTCGAGGACCAGTAGTGCCCACCCCTGATTTAAAATGTATTCTATTCTATTCGTTAGAATATAGTTTGTTGATCTTGGAGAACATGCTCTCTCATTATTATTTCATTATAATTATATCACTTGAAAATGATTTAAAACAAACAACTTTATTGTTTACTGCAGTAAATTCTGGGACAATTTATTGTCAAGCAAAACTAGTTACTGTGACATACCTGCCAATAGCTGAATTAGCTCAACGTCGCTAACAATGCTGCATGTTTTCCCTCTAACAAAATTCTCTGACAATGAGTCCACAGCTGGCTAATCAAGTTTGGCTTTCTGCTGCATGATTTCACTAACTGAAAAAAGAAAAAGCAAATTATCTGTGAATTCTGTGGAACGATCTATAAGACACAAGTTTTGGTTCTGTTGAGTTGTTTCCCATCTGATTGTGTGTACTTGCCACAATGACGATTTGTCAGTACTGTTATGATTTGTGTCGTGTTTACGTACGATACTTAAGTTTACCCATATGCTTGTCATACAAGGTGATCTTTTCCACTAGAGGTGGTTGGGGGTGCTAGGTCAGTCCACCAGCGGCACACTGTGGTTTGTGTTAAAAAATGTCAAAAGTTAGGGGAAAAAAATTGGATGTGCACGAGCATACATCGTATTTTGGAAATTATAATTTGTGAGGCCGACAGGCAGATGCAGGGACGGCGCAATTGGTCCACAATGTGTCAGCTACAAACTTAGCTGAATTCGTCTTTCGTGCCACTGCTGCATGAAAAGCCCAATTTAAAATATGGAAACAACACATAGTCTGGTGGGGTGGCAAGTAAAGCCCGGTGGCCCGCCAGGCTTAGAATACACAGAGGGAATCCCTGAACTTGACACTTATCAGATAAGATCTTTTGTAATAAAATTTTGCCATTCTGGTTTTCTTCACAGACTCCTTTTTTTTTTTTTTTAATTTTTGCTATTTTTGATTTTTTGTAAAAAAGTCTAGTACAAAGTGCTGCAGGCCTACAGGGCACAAAATGTGAAATAAGCGGAGGAAGCAACAAAAGATTACAAATGGACTTGCACTATGCCTTGTGTGATGTCACCAGAACCACATGCGAGTAGGAAGCTTTTGTCTCAATTTAAATATGAATTCACCAGAAACTAAGTAAAACCATCCATGCTTTGCTATTCTGTAGTTGACGAACTACATCTGATGTCAGTTTGATTGATTTTTCGTAGGAAGACTTTGAAACAAGTTGTGTGTAAATTTAGTTTTCATGTGATCAAGACTCAGCTGGCCAGACGTGGACTTGGTGCCTTAGGCACCAGCAGGCATCTTTTTCTTTTTTTCTCTAGTCCACATCTGAGTTTAATTGGTATCTCAAAGCTCACATGCATGCCACTGTGACCACCACTGCATCTATGTTTGCCAGAGAATCAAAAGGGCTCCTGTAGTTTGTAAAGAAACTTTCTGTTTGTGTAAGTATAAGGATATTCAAGAAGTAAAAAAAAAAAACATTTTCTCACAGTTTCCTTTCATTCCCACAGATTTCTATGTCTTCCTTGTTAGAATTTCCGAACAGATTAACCAGGACTGCAAACTGATCCGTGCCAGCCTTGCGCAGTAAGTTTTAATCTGTAATGATTGACATTTTTGTTTGTCGTCTCCAAGCTAACATGATATTTCATGCTAATTTTTGATTTATGTCTTTTTTTTTTTCACGAAACTTTGAACTGGGGAAAAATATTAATCAGATTATCTTTTTCAAAACCATGATTGACACCACCCAAAACATTACTTTTCTAGCCTTTCTGCTTTTACATTGTTTATATTGTTTATATTTGGAGTTGGAGCCAGTTAATAAGTCAGTTTTTATTTACTAATTGAATTTGTGGTATTTTTTGAAAAACACTTTTTTTCTTCTTCTTTTCTTCTTTTGTTTTCTACCAATGCACTTCTTAAATTTCTGTAGTTCAGAGTGATGTCAGCACGCCCAGGGCGGCCATCTTGTTGGCATCCATGTTTTACCGCTTCTTTGACTTTGGAATGTGAAAGACATTATTTTTAAATTACGAGATTAAAGCCGTCATATTTAAAGAATACAGTCATTTGCAAATCAGAAAGATCCATCACAGACAGAAACCGAATCTTCAAAAGGATAAAACAGAGCAACGTTGCTGTTTGATCTTCCAGATTTATGCTAAATTTAAATGGGTTGACCACTCATTCTTCCTCTAAATCCAGTTTCAGTTATCCCTTTGATACTAAAAAAAGCTGCCTTTCTGTCCACAGTACTTCATCTTATCAATGAAGAATGTTTTCATGACCTAGTAACGCTCAGGTATGGTGTGTTCAGCGAGGAGGAAAGGGATCGAAAGCTTGAGTTTCCAGGTTGCTGATCCGTGGCTAAGATAACCATTGTCCAGTTACCTTAGAGCTTCTAAGCTGATGTTCACCAGTGGTCACGTCTGGAATGAAACGGTCCGATTAAACAGAGACGACGGATGTTATGCAAACGGCGGTCTCTGATTGGAGTCGGTGTGGGAAAATGGAAATGCGGTAACAGTTTGGCCTCCGCGGCACCCAGAGACCAATAACCAGCTACCACCTCATGAAGCAATCACCGAGACATCTGGTGCAAATTATCCCAATTTGAATTTGTTTTTCAATTCAGACAGGCCTTATTATGACGGTGGACTAATGGGTAAACGCAACACTTTTACATGCAAGGCAGCTAGAGTTGCTGATTTAAACCCCCCCAAACCTCAGAATTAGTCAAATTAGAAATGATTGCCTGTTCAACCTGATGCTGTTAAAGATGTGAAGTGTTTCTCATTATCTCTCTGTGTTTCTGTGTTGAGCAGACATAACCGCGCCGGAGTTCCTCGTTGGGAGACCCACACTCCTTCACAGGGGCCATGGTAAAGCATCCTCACTTTGTTTACTGCGATGAATGCTAATAGTCGTGTCCCTTGTCCTGCAAGCAATCTGCAGAATGGGAGCAATCCATTGATTATCGCTTTCATTCAGCCCTGGTTATCAGGAGGCAGACAGTTGCGTCAGCTCCGAACGTGTCAAAGGTCTTCTGAGGACAACTTTCAGTTTCCACTGCACAAATGTTTTTTCATTTCCTGTTTGAGCTGCTTCTGTTTTCAGTTTTTTCCCTGTAATTATAGTAGCATAGTAAAGTGCTGTCCTTTTGGCTGGATTTAGCTTCATGCTACAGCATGGGCAATTGGTGAACAACTCTCTGCTTGTGCTGACTCAGCATCTCACTGAAAGTCTTACTACTGTTTATCGTTAAACTCTTTCCTGTCCTCTTTCTGCCCCCAAGACTTTAAATTCTGCATTCCCTTCTGAAATGAAAATATGGATTTGTTTAAAGGGTCAGTATTATGTAAAATTGAGACTGGCATCATGCTGTAGTGTTATTCCCTCATTAGAAACATACTGGTACTGTTGCTTTGATTCATTCATACACGTTTGATAACTTCTTTAATTTCCCATGGCAACCATTCAACTTGCAAAACGCTGGACGGACTTAGCCAAGGTTAATAGAGGAGCCATGTTGTGATGAGTTCCTGAAGGCGAAGTTTCAAAAAGAAAGAAGTTTTTAAAGAGACAGAGGCCCAATTTGAAGTCTAAGTCATGTTTGATACATTTAGCATTTTTTGCAACTCCTGATATTAGCATAATTCTTCTTAGTGCCATAAAATACACCCTCTTTAATTCAAGTTTTCTGACTTTGTAATTTTGGGAGTTCTGTTGCTCTTGTTGATTCTGTCTATCATGGTTTGTTGTTTTAAAATCATCCCGGTTGCGTCATATGCTGTGGTGGAAAGAGGAAGGCTGTCGTTGTGACATGCTGACAAATCATCTGAAAGCCAGTGTTGATGATTTCTGCAGCCTAGCTGGGAGAGAAAGCTGAAATAAGACTGTGTGTGTGTGTGTGTGTGTGTGTGTGTGTGTGTGTGTGTGTGTGTGTGTGTGTGTGTGTGTGTGTGTGTGTGTGTGTGTGTGTGTGTGTGTGTGTTGGACAGGAGATAAGCAACACGAAGGAAATACTCAGCTAACCATCTCCTGTCACATGTTCCGAATTTAAATTAAAACTAAAGAGAAATATGACAGTGAAATAAAGCTGTGGTTTTGAAAAGCTGATGCTAGTTAGTTTGCAGATAAACATGCTCTGTTGTCTGTGCAGGAGGAGGAGGGGCAGCAGAGCCTGGAGTGCATCCAGGCCAATCAGATCTTCCCCAAGAAGTCCCCAGTGCTGGAGGAGGAAAACATGCAGGTGAGCCACGGCGTGTCCTCGCCGGTCATCTTAAGCCGTAAAACGGTTCGACCTCACTGTTGATTTCTGCTAATTACACAACTGCCACAATGAGTTATTAAAAGCGTACCTTCAGTTTAAGCATAAAATAAAGCAGTGAAAGTAGAATAAACATCTTTGTGATCTTCTAACAACAGTCCAGTTGAATTTTGGATTTACATTTTTTCTCTCTTTTACTTTTACAATTGGTTTTCTAATTGGTCTTGATAGCAATATGTCTTCTTATTGTTATGAAAATAATAATATAATAATGATGATGATGATACAGACCTTTGGGCACTTAAATAACTTAAAAACAGCATAATAAGTAGGAGAAAATATAAAATACAGAAACCCTTCAGCTGTGACTTTAACAATGTTTATGATTTCAACTAAAACACGCAGATTCATCACACTGTGATGATTTCAAAATGTGCTGGAGCTCAACCATTTCATCCAGCTTTCACATTGTCAAAAGAAGAAATAAAAACGACTGAAAGGTTTTCAAAAGGCCAGTCCTGCTTGCACAAATTTTTTTTTAACAGAGTTTGAATATCTCAGTGGTCCAGAGATTTTCCTTCCAGCAGCATCTGGAACTCTGGCGTCCAGCGTTTCGTACGTCAGCAGAGCATCCACCAGCTTCTTGTGTTCCTTGCTGTAGGACTTCAGGTTGTTCTTCGCAATACGAGAGAAAAAACATCTTTCTTTTGTTTAGTTGTATATTTCAGAAGCAGAGGCGACATTTATGGTATTGATTATCATCCAGTTTCTTATCAGATGGTATCTTCTTACCTTAAATGTTCACGGCACAAGCGAGGCATTGTCAGATATCAATGGGACTGATGCTGTTCAGTTTTTAGCAACACTATACTAGAAATTCACTTGGTTGTTTATGCTGCTTGAGTTGTTGTAGGCAAGCAGGAAAACCTGGAGTGGAGTTTTCACAGTCTATCAAGTGGAATGGATTCTTTCATGAAGCAATAGAAACATCATTTGAAGAAGTAATATGTTATTTGATGTTGGCACTCGATTTCAAATTTTTAATTGAGTTCATTTCACAGCGTCTATCATGAATTAATCGCAATTTACAAAATTGGCCACATTTTCAATTGATAACCCTTTTTGCTGCCTGGCCGATAGAAACGGGTTTCTAGTTTGTTGTTGTTTGCGGACGCTGCTGCTGCATCTGCATTTCACACAAATGTTTCACTACAAAAGATCTGGCCGAAACTTCAGTATGTAAAAAAATAAAAAAATATATAATTGCATAAAAACATTTTACTAAATTTGATTAATTAACCATCAAGGTCTGTTCCCTACTTTTATTGCAAATGTAGGATGGTTCACACTGATACTTTTCAAATGTCTTCATGTGAATAATTATTATGATCTTAGCTGGAAATCAATAAGAGGAAAGTGATCAAAAGTGATACAGCAGCAGGTGAGATGTTAGTTTTAAGCGATTGCATTTGCACCATGGTTTCCTCCATTACTTTCCTAACCATCACTCAGTGACACAGAGGAGCTCTAACTTTATGTTGGCCTAGTGGAAATAACAGAGTGGGACGAATTGATGAGCTGATGTTATATAACACTTCTGAAAAAGAGGCTCATGTCTGAAAGTAGTACTGTTTTTATTACAGAGCAGATACTTCTTTCTATTTCTATTTTAAAATTCCTACCAAATGCTAAAATTGTCATCAAGTTTAATTTTAAATAGTCGCTATAAACACATTTGGTGACATTGCAGGTTTCTTCCTCGTTATCCTTTTTGCTGATCTGATTTCTGTGTGGCTTTGCAGTTGGTGTCAAATTTTTTCATCTCTGCCTCTCCTGCCGTTGCTAGGTGCCCTTTCCCGAGCTGCACGGGGAGTTCACAGAGTATGTCGGGCGAGCAGAGGACGCCATCATCGCAATGTCCAACTACCGCCTACACATAAAGTTCAAGGAGTCCGTTGTCAACGTAAGTGTGAAAGAAAAGTTTCCAACAAGCTATAAAGTTGCAAATCTGATTAGAGAACATTGGTCGCACCGCGACTGGAAATAACTCCAGAATGAAGTGCATTGTGTGTGTTGGAGGCTATGTGAAAGTGTGCAACGTTGTTTTGTGAATGAACAGAGCTGGCCTGTTGAGCCAGGCTATTCAGACCTGATCTCCAACGGCAGCAGTGCTGCATAGCTCCTCTGCAGCCTCTGTTTCTCCCCTTTGCCCCCATCCTCTCTGGACTTGCTGTTGCTATGGTTGCAGCTGCTCCAGAGGGGATGCACAACAGTCAGGCCCTCTGTTTGGCTCTCTCAACCTTTCCACTCTATGAAGAAGACACACCGGTTTGTTTTCATTTCACACAGCACAAGTAGTTTAAATTGGAAATGTAAATCATGAAATTTACAGTATATTATGACGGGAGGCTAAACACTAGATAAATAATTAAAGTTACATTTGTTTATGTTTCATAACTCCAAGCTTCTACAGCAGCGACGTTTCCATTACAAATGTGCGCAATTTCACAAATGAGATTTTTTTTTTCCATTAGAGAAGAAATACAATAACATTTTGTTCACGCAATAAAAAACATGATCCTCATCACCTTCATGTTACTTTGTCGTCTTCTCCTTTGTCATTTCTGCCAGTAGTAATATCCGGTTGTTGATCACGTGACTCGCGATGTGGATAAAACGTTTTCATCGCAGTTTTGTGAAATACATCTATTTTGATGTGGCCAAAAAAAACATCTCATTCTAGCAAAAATGTTTTTAACAAAAACTTGAGTTTTTTTTTTTTTTCATAATAATTGGGACACTCCCATTCAGCAAATGTATTTTTGTAGTTACAATCTGCTCAATTTTATGGTTAAGGGAAGCGCAGTTAGTGTGGTTCCCAGAAAAAAATGGACTATTATGATTTGATTGTTTTTTGTTTTTTTTTTTCACTGCTCTCTTACATAAAATTCTTTCAAATTGCTTTGATGCCAAATTAAACATTTACCAAAACTCAACCTCTTTCCTTAAGAAAACATGAGTTTTGTTTAGACGATGCTAATGCTGATACGATGTTAATTTTAGCCAAATCCATTCTTCCTCAACAACCAAATTAATTCTGAACATTTCCCTGTAGCTTTTTTCTTCTCTCCTGTTTTGTTTTTTTGCTGAGTGGTGGTTATGAATGGGCTTAGTGCTGAACCCCACAGCCACACAAAGGAATTCCTGGATCAATGCCCTGCTTGTTTAACTACTTTAATGGCTTCTGCTTACTGTACAAAATGTTATACTACACAATATTAATTGAGTAAGTGCTGCTTAATGAATTCAAATAGGCCCCATTGGAATTTGAAGTGTTTACTATTGTCATTTTGTGTCAGTTAAGGACAAATTTGTTGATGTGTCTTATTACATAACAGCAGTTTTATTGAGACATGTTGGGCTCCATTTATAACAGCGGTGTCCAAACTTCTGTTTGTCTAATGAAAAATGCTAAGTGATTTTGTGAATTTATTTTTGTGATTTGAATATGTAGCAATTTTCTGAAACAAAGTAGAAAATAATATTGTAGGTCTCAGAAGTTTTTCGTAATAAAAAAATGTACAGGTTTCTAACTTTTTTATGGTCAAATATTTCCTATTTTATTGGCTTAGAACTTTCTTAAATTCTTACTGCTTTTGCCAAGTTTAAGTCTGTTAATCAGTGATATAAAATCAAAGTAAAAAACATGTAGTAAAAGAAAAAAAAATACTTTGAGTTGTACTGAGCCCTTTCTTTTTTAGAAAAGATCTCATCATTAAAACGTATAAAGTGTTCATCTGCATCAGCTCCTTTTGCTGAAAGGGCCGTCTTTCTGTTAAATCGGCTAGAAATGATTAAACATGACATCCTTTAAAAAAACCAGAGTTATAGTTTAAAGTTGGTAATAATTGGAACTCATTTCCCCTCACACACATTGGGTTGAGCCTGTGTTACATGACAGCACTGTAAGGACCCAGAACACAGCAGCGGGAAGTTCTGGAGCAAGGTGAGCGAGAAAAGCGGCTGAAAAGCAGAAGAATTTCGACGACGGCCAGATTAGAGGTGCTGATCGCAGCGTAGGAATTAAATAGTGACAACAGGATGTGGAAACATCCGGAATATGTTGTAATGGCAGCCCTGAGCTTGCACTAAAAGTGCTAACAAATGGACATTCCCTTCTTACATGACTGTTCTTTGTTTTTATTTTCTGTTTTGTGGTGGGGGTTTAGAGTTGTTGTTGTGAGGTTTCAGTAAGTATCCTGCAGAACTGCATGGAGTGGAGTGGTTGAATTTTAACCGTAGAGCTGACTGTGTGCTTGCCCGCTAACTAGCTGGTGCCTCAGGGACTGGAGGCTTTAATGCCTGATGCCAGATGTTAGTTTTAAGTAGCTCCTGTAAAAAAAAAAAAAAAAAAAGATTGGATGTCCACACAAAGGATGAAGGTTGGCAGCCTCCTGTCCATCAACTAAACTGTACCTGCCTTTGTGTTCTTGTAATGAGAGCTGACTTCTACATTGGCTGACTGGCATTCATGCATGACTGTCAGAACATAAGCTTCAGCCTCACCTTTTCTAAAATCCCACCACACCACCATGAAAAGCTCCTAATTCATTAACAAAACTCAGTATAAAGTAGCGGAACTGCCTTCCTGCTCTTTTCATGTCTTATCTGGGCTTATGTGCTTGTGACAGTTCTGTACTTTGAATTATATTTGCCTACAGTTGATGTGACGGCTGAAGCCAGTGTGTAGGAGGACATATAAGCAAGCTCTTTATGTGTGTAAGCTTGACGCAATGAGCAATAAATAAATCAATCGCACGATAGATCAAAACGAGTGTGATCACTTTCATTTGGACAGCAATGGTTAAAGAGATTTTCTAACAAGTTTGAGAGTTTGCTCTGCCTGCCACTTTTGCCTGTTTTCCCTGTCAAAGCTGAGTGATAATTATTTTTTGAAATGCATTTTGGTTACAGAGGCTTTATAATCCATTATAATCATTGTCGTTTTGTTTGTTTTGAATTTGAATTGTTTTTCAGTTCCAGTGCTAAATATTCCTCATAAATTATTTATTTTTATCTCTTGGTGGGTATACTTGCACTAGTAAACCATTAGGATTATTATTATTAGTTGAAAATGGTCTCTAAATGACATAATGCTCATTTATTGGAATCATTTCTGAGACAATTTTTCATCCAGCAAACTTTGATATTGTGATAGACCTACATGTGTATAATGATATTGTGCTGCCACACACACACACACACACGCACATACACACGCACGCACATACACATGCACGCACATAGAAGGATTTAGTATATTTAAAGCCCACAGGATTTTGTGGTCTGTTATGCTGTTAACTACTGCTACTGCAGTGTGACAGAGCGGTTTGTCTAACCTGATAATTGTCTACATGGCTCTGGATGATCATATTGTTTGGTAGCCATGCATTTGAAGTGAACGTCATCCTGCTGGCGGTTAATTCTTGGCTCTGAACATTTCCTGTAGTGATCCTGACTAATTTGCTAAAGGGATTTTCAGTCTGCTGTCGCCACACAGCCTGCACTTACTGCACTGACTTCATGAGCATGAGCTGTACACGTCTTAAATACTCTTTGCTGGTGATCCAAATGGGTTTTGTGTATCTAATGTCTCACATCTTGCCTCCTCCTTAAGAGCAAATTTATAGCAAACTCTTCAACTTTTTTTTTTTTTTTTTTTTTACATTATGTCACTTTACAACCACAAGCTATATTTTATAGGGATTTTAATTGAAAAGTGTGAGGTGCATTTAGATTCACATACCCACCCACGCCCTAACCCAACTCACACTTCTTGGCAAATACTTTGTGGAACCGCCTTTTGTGGCGATGCCATGCATGACTTTACCAGCATATTTCACACAGAGACAGGAATCTGCACATTTCGGACATACTTTGCAGAATGGTTTAAACAATACCTAATCAGATGAACATTCATATTTTTGAGTCATGACAGATTTTTGGTTTGATTTAAGCCTGCGCTTGAACTGGACCATTTAAACACATGAACATATTTTGATCTAACTCAATCCATTAAAGTTCTGGTCAAAAAGTAACATTTGTTCAAAGGTGTGTATAAATGTCACATTCTATGGAGTCGGGGGGTTAAGGCTCGCAGATGGGCGAGCTTTAGCCACTGCCACCGCTACTACTACTAGAACTGATCTGAAAGCAGCAATTGGTGTGACACAAACTCAGAAGTGGGTGGTTTTGAGTTTTAAACACGGTGGCTAAGCACCAGTCTGACCTATTTAAGAATTTTATTTAATCAGTCATTGCCATGAAAGGGAAATACATCAGAGAATGATGAGAACAGGGGAAAAGAAATGGAGTACAGCATTGTATCATAAGAGAATAAAGAGCCACAGATGTAACTATGTTGACAAATGGGGGGGTGGTGGGGGAAATTCAAAGGAATAGTAATAAACGTCTTCTTGACAATATCTATAATCTCACAAGTGGAGCCATTTTATTATATATAAATGCATGATTTTCTGCTGTACATTCCTGTTGTGAAAAGGGTCTTAAATGTCTTTAATACTAGTCTTAAGTTTGAGTTGATGAAGCCTGGTTGTAATAATGAGGACTGAATACAAATGCATGTCATAGTTTTCGGTCTTTTGTCAGTAAGAAGGTTTGACAATTGTGTCCCATTTTTGCTTTCACTTTTCTAACACATGCCACTTGTTTAAGCCTGTGGTTGTAGTGTGACCAAAAAAATGTCAAAGCGTTGAGAAGTGTGAAAATGGACCCCTCAGTTTAAAGGAAATGCTCTCTCCCTCCTGTTTGTGGCTTCACAGGTCCCCCTCCAGCTGATTGAGTGTGTGGAGTGTCGGGACATGTTTCAGCTTCATGTCACATGTAAAGACTGCAAAGTCGTCAGGTAAAACTCAACTCATCCTTTGCTGTTGAACATACATAAAGACATTTTCTTGTTTTTGTTTTTAAGAAAAAGAAATTCTATCTGTTCTTTTAGCACCTTTAAATATAAAGAAATGAATGTGGACATGATGTACCAGATCATAACTTTCCTCATTGAAGTTTAGAACTCAGAATCCAACTAAATATGTTTCTCCTACATAAATTCAGTTAGTTATCCAGTTAAAATGCAAGAATCCTACTGAATTATTATGTTTCTTTTGTGTTTGAGAGGATCAGATGTTCATTGATTTACAAAGAATCCATAAATGTGAATATAGGACTTCCTCTTACAGTTGTCTTTGAAATTAATTGGTGCGTCTGCTGCAGCGATGCAAAACTCATGAATTCCTTCCGTAAAGCGCCGCTGATCATGTTCTGCAGCTCTATATTCAATGTTGGACGATAAGAGTTTATCTATCAGTCCATCTGTCCGCCTCTTCCTGTTATTGCAAGTTCCACACATTAAAGCCTGATTACTTTAGGAGTATCTTTTGTAAAGTCTTAGTTATTGTTTTCTTTAAGCTTAAAATAGTCTTAAATAGTTCTCAACCCTGAAAGTTTTAGTCAAGAAACTGGAATTTTGATCTGAAAAATGAATGGGAATGCTGTACATCTGTTAGTTACTGGTATATTTCGTTTAGGTTGAAAAATTGATGAGACAAGACAATGGAGCCTTTTGTATAGATTGGAAAAATAAAAATTGTAATAATAAAAAAAACACTCTACGCTTAGCTTGATCCTACAGATGACTGCCGTGTGTTTCTCAGGTGCCAGCTGTTTGTTTTCAGCTGATGGTAACAATACGGGCCATGTTTATATGGAAGTAAAGATGTCACTCTGTTTTTTTATCCTGTTTTTTAGAAATTCAATAAATGACCAGATGTTTCAGCTGTAGAATTATCCCGTGTTAGAGGTGTTTTAAACACGTTAACGTTATTCCCCAGTTATTTTAGACAACAGTTACGTAAAAGTTGTATACCAGTGACAATGAAAGTGAAATGGAAAAGAGATGTTTACAGTCCACCGTATAAAGTGATTTCTCTGTAAGTCGGATTGATCTTTGAACAAACGCCACAAACATGGCTTTGTTTTCATAAAGACAACAGAAAGTCAGGATCAGTGGTTGAGCAGTAAATCTATACTGCGGATAGCCACAAAACCCTTATTCTTACAGATGAGTGCACATTTAAGAGAAAATAGAGTGGATTTTAAAAAACAAATAAAAATGTGACCCTGTCCAACATGTGAATAGGGCAAAAATCTGGAGGCTTTAATATATCAGAAACGCTGATTATGCTGCACCTCCAGCATGCAGACCTGCAGGGTTTGGTGCGTAGTCCATTTTGTTTCTTTAATTTTGCCAGCAAATTCCACGTTGGAGTCCAGTGCCTTCAGCCTGGATTTATGAGTTTTCTGAACTGAAATCCAATTAATGGTCAGAAAAAAAAATAGTATCCCCTCTTTATGCTTTCTGTTCCTCAACTGTTCGTGGGAGGCAGTTAAATGTTTTCCCTTGGCAATCTCTGTAGGTTGTGTGCCCACATTCCCTCTTTAGTACCCCCCCACTTCTAGCCCTTCCAGTTTTATTGCAGCAGGATTGTTATAGTATTATAGTAAAGTGGCTAAGATTTAACATTGGTAAAATATGTTGGGTGTTAAAGTCTTAAAGGGGCATTATTATGTAAAATCAACTTTTTTCTTTAGCTTTACATCATGTTATAATGTTATTCCCTCATCAAAAACATACCTGGATTGTCGCTTTAATTATTTCATGCATGTTTGAGAAATACTTCAATCTCCATGGCAACCATTCATTTTGGCAAAATGACATCCGTTTTGTGATTTGAGGCAGTTAGCGGTTGAGGCTACTGCTAGCCAGCTAGCTAGAGTTTTTGCGTTTGCCATTGGTAAGTGTGAATTTCTTGCCAGTTGGCTGGACAACGTTCGTCTTCACCACTGGCTCACTTCTGTTGTAAACCCTCTATTCTGTGCAATAAAGCTTGTCACTACTACAATATAAAATCTAACATTTTCTTTTGCACCTTTCTGTCGTAAGACGAGTCTTAATATTCATTCATAGTCTTAAATTTGAGTCGTGGAGAAACCCCGTCATGGAATCAACCTGCTGTCCCGTTGAACTTCCAGGTGTCAGTTCTCCACCTTCGAGCAGTGCCAGGAGTGGCTGAAGCGTTTAAACTCTGTCGTCCGGCCGCCGTCCCGCCTGGAGGACCTGTTCTCCTTTGCCTTCCACGCTTGGTGCATGGAGGTGTACGCCGGGGAGAAGGAGCAGCACGGCGAGCTGTGCAGACCAGGTGCGCTGCCATGTTCTACGGCTCTTAAACCTCGCAGGAAGGCTTCCTTCAGCCCGACGCTTATCAGGCATCACTGGGTTTTTTTTCTTTTTTTGCTTTTGCAGGAGAACACGTGACCTCGTGGTTCAAGAATGAGGTGGAGAGGATGGGCTTTGACACTCAGAATGCCTGGAGGATATCGGACATCAACAGCAAGTTCAGGTAAAAAAAAAAAAAAAAAAGGCTATCATTCAGGATTCTGCTGCTGTCCGCAAGACAATCCTGCTTGATGTCCGCAAGACAATCCTGTCCTTTTGCTTTCTCTGACCAACAATGCATTTCTGTGGATTTCTGTTATTATACCCTGCTGGTACTGCAGCCCTCAGCAGATAAGAAGCAAGACCAGGATTTTGTGACTGTAGTCAGAGCCTGTTGTTGAGCTGTGGCCCCTCCAGGGCCCCCATCTCCCTAGTTTAACTCTGTTCTCTGTGGCCCCCATCCTGCCAGGCTTTGCCCCAGCTATCCTCAGCAGCTGCTGGTGCCAGCCTGGATCACTGACAAGGAGCTGGAAAATGTAGCCGCCTTCCGTTCCTGGAAAAGGTTTCCTGCAGTGGTTTACAGGTCAGTCTGTTTATATCTTTCCTTATAACTGTATTTGTTTAATTTATTCATTGCTACACAGAAACTGTCTTTGTGAAAGAGCCGATGGAGTTGTTTGATGAAATCCTTCTGGTTCTATATCGGACTGCAACCAGGTGGCAGAAATAAAAAGTATCTTTAGGTGGTTAAAAATAAGATCAAGTCTTTATGGCTGTTTATGGTTGCCCCCATGACCTGATTACTTTATTTTTGCTCGTAAAACACTGGCATCACCTTTCAGAACTTCAGTGTTCAGCTTGTGCCTTAGACCATTTAACACTGGAACTGAAAAGCATTTAGAAAATCCAAAATATTTTTGTGTTAAATATCCATTTCCCCCTGTGTGTTGGTGCAGGGGTAAACATACCCCCATCACTGTGAAATATGGCTTCGTTTACACTGCAGCCTGAAGTGACCCAAATCTGTACATTTTTTTCTCTTGATTTTGCTGGGGACAACATGAATCTGCTGCTGCACATGTGAAGCAGGTTGTTGCCACCAACCTTCCTTAGCCGGCTGTGAGAGGTCGAGCAGACAAAGCCTTCCCTTTGCCCACATCCCCCAGAGTGCCTTGGGGTTCTGAATCAGAGTTCAGCAACTTTATCAACATTATATTGGCTGTTTTTTTTTCTATTGTTATCATGTTTCTATGGTGATATATATCATTGTTTTATTACCCAGCCATCGTCTCCAAGCTGCTCTGTGTCTGAATATTGACTCTAACTTTGTTTACCGCCGTGTGGCTGTTCATAGCAGTACTGTAAATACAGTGTTCTTGATAAAATCATTGATGCAGCCCTGTAATCTGTGGCTTATCTTTTTGTTTTTTTTTTCTCCCATGCAGGCACCAGAGCACCGGCGCTGTGATCGCCCGCTGCGGCCAGCCAGAAGTCAGCTGGTGGGGTTGGAGGAACGCCGACGACGAGCACCTGGTGCAGTCCATCGCCAAGGCCTGCGCCGTGGACAGCAGCGGCCGCAAACATCTTTCCAACGGCAGCTACACCAACGGCTCAGACCTGCCTGATACTGATTTCGGTACAAGGGTTTTTACTGATGAGATGCGCTGCTGTTATCCACACATTTGCCACAGCGGCCTGCTATCAGCAGAAATTGTGCAAGCCTACCTGTTAGAGCTTGTCTGGAGCAGCTGGCTGACTCAAGCACACTTCACAGTAATAATGTGTTGTCGTTTTAGATTGAAGGTCCATAAATGCATCCTGTAGTTTAATTACAGGACCGTGCAAAACTATTCGGACCATCTCAACATTTTTGTATTTTGTTTTTAGAAATCAAAATAAAACTTATTGGAATATTTTTCCTTAAGCTACATCGAGAAAAACAATTGTTGCTTTCAAAAGCTTTGCAAGTAAAGACATGTGAAGTGTGACCTTCAATGGTATCAACAAAATAAAAGTAATTGCATTCGGTTGCACATAGAGGTCAGCCACATTATGCTATAATTAGGTCGTTGTGTCATTGTTCATAAATTTTATTTTAATGAGTTGCTTTTGTTGCTGGTTTTGGATGCTGGCAGTAGGAAGGATTTTTGGTCTGACGTTTTACATTCAGACAGTTGTTATGATATGTAACCGTGGCAACAAGGTATTGTTTTTATCGCTGTGAGCAGCTGATAAGCTTCTTAAAAGCTCGTATAATATCTGAACTATGACCCCGAATCCCAGAGCGGCTGAAAAAGAGGCTTCATAGATTCAGAGCAGGACCAGACAGGAAGTTCAGATCACCATGATGGATCATTCTTTGAATTTATTTGGATGATATGAGTTATAAAACATTTAATTTTCCTTCATAATAATTTTTTTTCCTTATTTGAATTGAGTAAAACAATATCCTAAACTTTGACCGTCTCACTCAGAAGTGAATGGTTTTAATAAAATCATATTCATGTGTTAGCATGAAGCCTTCAAAGTCAAACCTAAATCTAATTGAGTTACAGGGTAAGACTTGGGAATGTTAATGATGCTTTATGAAATAATTCTCATTTTATTTTCTTACTTTCACAAATAATTCTTATTTTCCTAAAGAACAATGGTGCAAAATATTTCAGTCTCTAAATGTGAAATGAATTGTGATTAATTGTTTTTCTTTCCCTTCACACTTACTTTTTTCCCACATAAAATGTTAAGACCATGTATGTGGCTATAAATGTAATGAACTGGGAAAAATTTCAAAGTTTCTGAATTCCTTTCAGGAATTCAAGGCAATTCAAGCATATTTTTGGAATAGCAATTTGTTTATTTATTTTTTTTCAGCAACATTCTAAATATTTCTATTAAATCTGAATTGCAATAACTCCTTTTTTTCCCCAGAATCCTCCATGACCAATAGCTCAGAGGTGGAGACTCTGGCTATCCAGCCCCACAAGCTGCTGATCCTGGATGCTAGGTCGTACGCGGCGGCGGTGGCCAACAGGGCCAAGGGGGGAGGCTGCGAGTGCCCAGGTAGGCTTTGTGTCTCGGTTTAAGGTTTCAAGCAGATTTAGGTCAATGCATGCTGCAGAATCAGAAGCTCACTTAGCCCCAAATGTGATTGTTCTTTGTCCTAAAATTAAACAGTTTTTGTCTGTTTATTTATTTATTTTTCCAGAGTACTATCCCAACTGTGAGGTTGTATTCATGGGAATGGCCAACATTCACTCCATCCGCAAGAGTTTCCAGTCACTACGTTTTCTCTGCACTCAGATGCCTGACCCAGCCAAGTATGTTTTTTTTTTTTGTGTTTTTTTTTTTTACTTCTTCTTCTTTTTTTCTTCTTCTTCTTCTCTTTAGGTTTAATTACAGTTCCCTCCAGCAGTGCTTTCAGACTCTAGACACAACATTATGACCATGCAGGCTGAGATTACAACTGCAGCACAGCTTTGCCTGCTGGAGGTATCTAGTAATCACTGTTGTGTTATGGCCTAGCTCAAACATCTGTGCCTGATTTAGAGCCTGGCCCCAGCCCAGGTAGAGGATGTCTTCCATTTGAACTCTCCAAGTTAACTCCAGGTTGATGTGTAATTAAACTGCACTGCTGCAGGAGAATTGAGCCAGGAGGAAATGTCCTCACAGTCAGGGTTATTGGGGATCAGGGCTCTCAAACTCATTTTCATTTTGGGCTATATTAAAAATATGAATGTTCTTAAAGGGCCGGTTGTGTCAGAATGTATTGATAAAACCAATCAAACTGTTAAAATATCAATCATTAGCAGTTCCTCCTTGATTTAGTGTTTTGGTTTTTTTACAATCAGAATTACAGATTGTGTGGTGCCAATTTAGAAATATTAGTAAGGAATTGTTATATTATTTCACTAATGTTAAATGTAACTTTTTATTACTCACTGTATCAGTTATGGACTATAACTTGACATCAAGTAAGGCTGAGGCAGCAGTTACTTAAACTCAATATTTTTGACAATTTTTTAGAAAATCTGCAGTAAAATCAGAAATATTTTTTGATTTTGTCTGAATTTTGCAGATCTGTGAAAAACTGGAAAAACTTATTGTAATTTGGAGTCCAGACGGCCATATCAAAAGCTCCGGCAGGCCAGATTTGGCCCCCGGACCTTGAGTTTAACACATGTTCCAGATGTACTAGAATAGATGCATTTTATTTTGCGGAAAGTAAAAGATTCCAGCTTACGTTTATTTGTATCTGTACTGTTTTGAATAATTATAAAGGTGCAGAAAATTAAGCAGAGAGGAATGCACCAATCCACTTTTTTCACTTCTAATATTGATATCAATATTGATATCTGAGGTTCAGAATCAGCGGATCCTTAACAAAACAGCTGCGCTGAACTTTTCTTAAACAGAGACATAAATGTACTGAATTATAAATACACCTAATAACTCTACACCAGAACAGCACCCTTAAATACACCAGTAGCTTCACAAGTTTGGTCAAACATGTAAAAACAACTTTAATTTGTTCAGTCAGTGAAATTTGGAGTCGAGCAGTCAATGTAAAATAAATGATAAAGAAACTGAAATTGCCAAAAACAATAGGTTGACTGCATTGGTCAAACATGTCAAGTAAATTGCAACAAATCTTCTTTCAAATTGTTCAGAAAGTGCAATTAGGAATTCTAAATATAATATGATAAGTAATAAAGCATGCATAGAGGATAAAGTTAGACTCAATAGATCTGCCCTCTTACTCAATATCAGATTGTTTTTCAGGATCAGATATTAATATCTTAATTAAATACTGGAGCAACATATTTCAAAAGGCCTTATAGTTTTTAAATCTAAATTCAGAATTTTCTTTTGAACACTAAATTTCCAGCTGTGAATTTTTTAATCAGAAATATTGTAAAATTGAAGCATAAAAACAGTTTTTATTTTTTTCTATAAAATTTGCTGCTTGTTTTACTTTTCATTGTTTGGTCCCATTAAGTTGGCCTTTTAAAATGCTTGGCATTTTAGGAATGAATCGATCTGTGCTCTCTGACTGTCCTTGAGAGATTAAATCGGTTGCTTTAAGTTTTTCTCTGCTGCCATCTCCTCAGCTGGCTGTCTGCGCTAGAAAGCACCAAGTGGCTGCAGCACCTGTCTCTGCTGCTGAAGGCGGCCCTGCTGGTGGTCAATGCGGTGGACAGAGACCACCGGCCCGTCCTGGTGCATTGCTCCGACGGCTGGGACCGCACACCGCAGATTGTTGCTCTGTCCAAGCTGCTCTTGGACCCGTACTATCGCACCATCGAGGTATTGACGTTCCCATTTCCTTTAAACTTCTTTAATTATTTGAAGTAGGAAGTTACAGGCGAACAGTAGTGATGTACTGATCATCACTTTATGACAGATTACCAAGTTTTTCTACAACTCTGACCTGCCCATTTTAGGCCATTCAGATTTTTCTTTCTAAACAAAAGTCAATTCAATTTGAGTTTCTGGCAGGATCTAGTGTCAGATTCTGGTCATTGACTGGTTTTATTTTTACAGGTAATACCTTGAATGCTACACAAGTCTGGACTGAGTCATTCACAGTCACACACACACACACGCACACACACAGCATCGGTAAATTTAATCAACAAAACATCCTCCATTCTTTTCCGGGTTAACTGCAGCAACATGTTTCAGCAGCAGAACCAAATCAGTGGTGTTGAACGTGGTCTGATCTTTTTGTTGATAACTTTACTCTGTTTAAAACAATCTGTGTTAGCTTTGCAGCAATTCTGTTGAGACTAAATTTAGTGAGAAGTGAGATTTTTAAATTATGTTATATATCTCTGCAGCTTGCTCAGTGCGGCCCAGAGACCATTTGTGGCTCTTGGACTGAGATTGCGTGGCCCCCAAACAGCTGCTCAAGGTTGATAAAACAAAAAATAACACCAATGTCAAGGTGTGAAATATATATATATTATAACAACTGAAGGTAACATAATTACTTGATTGTGCTATAAAAATTACTATATATATGGCCCATTTTAATGAGATTTATCAATTATTTAGTGGTCAGAGCTACTTTAAGGTGCATTTATAAATTGACTGTATCTTTGGTGAACAGACATAAATCAGTAATGCATTATAAAAATGGAAGAACTTCTGCAGGCTAAAATGCTCACTTTGGCAACATTTTCCATCCAAAATACAACTTATGAAACAAAAGGGTCAGTCTTATGTTTTTCCTAGTTGTTTCCTACAAGTGAAAAGGTGTGATGCGTTGCACAGGGCTTCCAGGTTTTGGTGGAAACGGAATGGCTGGACTTTGGCCATAAGTTTGCGGACCGCTGTGGTCACGGGGAGAACTCTGAGGACCTGAACGAGCGCTGCCCCGTCTTCCTGCAGTGGCTGGACTGCGTTCACCAGCTGCAGAGGCAGTTCCCATGCTCCTTCGAGTTCAACGAGGCCTTCCTGGTACGAGCTCCTTTGCTAGTCCATATTGTTTCCACCTCTTCTGAATGTCTTACTGCCTAGAAGTGAGGATGGTTTTCCTCTAATCACCACACATCTCAGTTCCCTTCAGGGAGTGTTAATAACACTAAGAGAACTTCTTATGATTTGTACACTTGCGACGGATTGTGTTTGTGTATGTGCAGGTGAAGCTGGTGCAGCACAGCTACTCCTGCCTGTTTGGCACCTTCCTGTGCAACAGCGGCAAGGAGAGGGAGGACCGGCACGTTCAGGAGAGAACCTGCTCCGTGTGGTCGCTGCTGCAGCCAGCCAACCGCCCCCTGAGGAACATGCTGTACTCCTCCCACTCTGAAACCGTACGTCTCAGCCACTCTTCTCCTCCAGGGGGCCGGGGCCTCTGCGCCCTGCGTGTTTTCACCCTCCAAAGCCTCTTTCAGCCCGTTCCGCTCACAGGATCGTTGATTAAAGCCCGACAAGACGAAGCATGAGAAACGTCTGACTGCAGAGTCCATAAACAGGCAGGATGAAACCATAGTCTTGACTTTTGCAGCGTTCTAGATTTATCACTAATTGTTTTGCTTTCAGACTTGATTTAAAGTCTGTTTTTCAGCTTTCCAAGTGTTGCATTGTTGTGGTTGCTGTTGTCATAGGCAGTGAAATTCCCCCTGTAGCAAACTTAAAAACAGTATTCTGACAACGCAGATGTTCTTGTCGCATCTTGTTCAGACTTCCACCTAAAGGCTTCAACGCGCTCAGGCTTACTGTCCCTCACAGTTGAGATTTCATAGGCAGTTGTGGAGACATTTCTCATTCCAAACAATCCAAATGGGTACTAGTAAGATCAAAGAGCTTTTTGGGTGCTTAGCCCCAATTCTTCTCCTTCATTCCTAAAGTTTATATTTATGGCCCAGACCTGACTCAGCATTCTTACCAGGTCAGATCAGAATTATTTGCTTAATTGTCAGCTCAGGCTTGTGTGGCGCGTTTAGTACACTCTGCAATACACAGAGAAAACCGAACAAAAATGCATGAAATACATCTACTTATTATCGTGTTGATAGTTGAACCTGTTGAGCAAATGAAGTAAGTAGGATGCAGAAGTTAATCAGACTCTTAACGAGCGCAGCGCACTGCCTGCATGCTCTGCCTGGAGCAGCAGCAGAGACGGGATCTGTTCAATGTGTGATTTGTTCCTGACTCACTGACAACACGCGACAAGATGGAGCTGGAAGAGGTTAAACTACAGCTAAACATGGGAGAAGTTACACTTCTCATTTGAATGGTAGTCTAAAAACAAAAGCAGTACAATAGGAATTAAAAGAATATGTCAAGTTTACTTTGGGTTCAGGCCTAGAACTGAAGTCAGATTGGACTCTTATGCAGTGCCTTGGGTGGGTCGGATTTTTTGGGCCTGATCGAAACTCTAACCAGGGCAGCTGTCACACACTTGCTCTTTGTGCTGCACTAGTTACGCTGACTCAACATTTTCAGCTCCGTGTCGCATACAAAACAGTTTCCCACTAAGTACTTTCCTTTGTGACAACGCGTACTTGGCTGTAAAAATCGACCTTTTGTGGACCTCGGCTGAGTGAGGTACACCTGAGTATGCTGGGATTTTTAAGACTTGTACTTTTATATCCCACTGATCCCATTTGGTGGGTGGGTTTGTTCTGCTTGCAGGTTCTCCACCCGGTTTGTCATGTGCGGAACCTGATGCTGTGGACCGCAGTTTACCTGCCCAGCTCCTCCCCCACGACCCCCTCTGACGACTCCTGTGCTCCCTACCCTGTGCCCGGTGCCAACCCGGAGGATGCGCCCCTGGGCAGGTGAGCCTGGCGCGTTGGCACCCGACCCCCCCACTTCCTGCTTCATGTAAGATAAACACAAACCGATGACTCCCAACAGCCAGAGGGTCTCGGCATAACAACCCTTATGCTTCTTGACGTTGCTTTTACCAGACCTCATGCAGTGCTTTGCAAAGGTTCCTCTGAAACTGCATTTAAAATGTTGCAGTTTTTTTTTTGTTTTTGTTTTATATTTGAAACCAATACTTGGAAATAATTTATTAATCAAGATTTCCCCTAGAAAACCTGCTAAGCGTGGTGGTAGATGGGCTGGACCAGACCACCAGCAGCTCACTGTGTCAAAAATGTGAAAAGTTGACAGGAACTTGAGCTAGTTAGAGATGTTATTGGAAGACGTTAAAATGGACGGCCCTAAAGATTCTTAAAACAGGCAAACATAAAAGCATTTCATTTCAACAAACATCAGTTTATTTGTACCTGGATGAAGTAATCAGCTGATGGCTCTTAAAACAAGCTATGTAATGCTTGTTTTGACACAAGCATTACATAGCTCGTCTTAAAACGTAAAATTGATTAACGGAAATCTTACCTAAAATGGGCAACGATGGGTATTTGTATGCTTAGCTAAATATTCCTGGCACAAAATTTCATGGTTTATTGTTTGAGGTTTTCTTGTGTTTTTCTAAATCCACCCATCTAGTGGTGGATTTAGAAAATGTTTCGCTTTGCTGGCTGTGATTGGTTGTTTATCCATTAGCGCTGGGGAAGTCTGCGCTAATGCTACACATTTAGCATTGAGATCCTATTTTAGGCTTCAATACATTGATGGGCTAACTCCTTTTAGCAAAACTTTAATAGTCTTTCCCTTCACCCAATCATATTGTGTTTTTGAAGCAAAAATGACCCTCCAGTGGACCAAGAGAAGCAGCTCCGTCAACCGTCGCTGTTTGTGAATGTTCCTTGTGCATCAGATTTACAGGTGTACCAGAAATGCATTTTATAATCAAATGCATGATTATAAAGGCTTCATTTGGATCCTTTATAAGGAAAAAAGGGATTAACTTATGAAAGTTAAATGTATTAAATAAATTCAAATCTATTTAATAAAATAAATGTTTCTGCAAGGCACTAATGGTCTTAATGATACTTTAAGACTATTTGGGGCTGCAAGAGTATTTAAAAAGACAGTCTGTGTTCCTAGTATAATCTTTTTTATGTTTTGATGAAGATGATTGGTTAACACAAAGGTTTGGTCAGTAAATCTTAGCCAGAAGTGCTGAGATGGTTTAATTGTGTTTTCACCACTGAATTGTTTTTTCTCATTTCCTGTTTAGACGAACAAAAACTCGCTCTTTTGACAACCTGCCCAGTGCGTGTGAGCTGGGAAGCACGCTGGCTCCCAACCGGCGCTCCAGTGACCCGAGCCTCAACGAGAAGTGGCAGGACCACCGGCGCTCTCTGGAGCTCAACATGGCGGTGGGCCCTGAGGGAGGAGGCAGTCAGGAGCCGCAGGCCGGCGGAGAGGGGCCGTGTGCGGACGGACAGCAGTCGGAGCTGGGCGATGACCAGCATCCCCAGGGATCGCTCCAACGGGACGCCCCGGTCAGCCTAGACAGGGGAGCGGAGGAGGCAGAGCTCTCTGTGGTGGTCGGCATGGCTGAGGGGCAAATGGAGAACATCTTACAGGAAGCCACGCAGGAAACGGGAGCAGATTTACAGGGGCAGGGACCTGCTGCTCACACAGAAGTGAAGGAGGAAGTTGAAAGTGAAGGGGAAGCTCCAGCGACGGAGACGCAGAGAGAAATAGTTATAAACGGTCACCATCCTGACAATGGCGAGATGGAGGCTGAGGACGATGGGGATTCTCCTCCTCTGCCCTCAGAGGAGCAACAGGAACTCCATCAGCAGCAGAATGGCCAAATTCAAACACCAGAGGGCGCTGTGGAGCAGAGCATCAACTGCTCTGCTGTTAGAGAAGAGTCGAGCTCAGGAGAGGAGCTGCTGTCTGAATCCCACAGAACCGTTATTAACGGTTTTGTGGGCGGGTCATCAGAGGAGCAAGATGTAGATGAGGCCGGTCCCGCCTCAGAACCTGAGCTCGTCGTTTCAGAATTGGACGAGCCGCTGGACAAGAGGGCGTCCTTGATGGAGAGCTCCACAGAGACTTTAACCGAAGAAGCCTGCAGCAAGCTGGAGCTTCTTCCTGGACAGCCAAGTGTTTTACCCAACCGTCAGCCGCACGGTGACGGCAAGAGCCAACACCCCGGCTTCAGGAAGGACAGGGAGGCGGCCGAACCCGGCGTTAGCAGAACTTTAAACGGGGGCTGCAAGCATGCCTCGGTCAGTGCCTTTCAGTCTGCCAGTGCTGAGCTCAGCAGGGAAGGGCTTTACAACGGAGACTGCTCCGATGGAGACCCCAGCGTAGGACCGCACTGGGCCAAAGGGAACGGGGAGCGGGCCCCGCTCAGCCGACAGGTTTCTCTGGCCAGCTGCAACTCCCTGGTCCTCCATCCACGTGGCACCTGCCTGCAGCACCGCTGCTGCCACACCGCTCCCAGCCGGGCCGCCGTCAGCCCGGAGCAGCCGACCCGCAGCCACCTGGACGACGACGGACTCACGTTGCACACAGACGCCATCCAGCAGAGGCTGAGGCAGATCGAGGCCGGGCACCAGATGGAGGTGGAGACGCTGAAGAAGCAGGTGCAGGAGCTGTGGAGCCGCCTGGAGAACCAGCAATACGCCGGATCACACCGGATCAACGGAGATGTGGGTGACGAAGTGGTGAGACGCCGCTCTGCCTTTTACCCTTAAGAGAAAAATGTAACTATCCATGCTGTTTCCATTAAAAATGTGCACAAATCTTTGTCTACATTCTGCAGTTGCAGTGTTCCCATTAACAAGATCCTTTAAAATCACACATGAATGAGCCAATTCACAGGATAAGTCATTAAAAATCATGGCAGCCATAGATGTAAACAGTTACTTAATATATATTCATAATTCAGCCGTGGTGTCAACACTCATCATCTAGCAGCCATCAGAGAAACGTCTGCGTCTTATTGAGGCGTTGGTGCTTAAACTTTGGAGCAGCTACATATGCGGCGTTTGATGAGGCTGTAGTTGCCGACTTTACAGAAGTAAAAAGAGTGATGAAAACTTTTTATGAGCTGTGTGCAGCTGTGATGGCTCTGGTGGAGCCAGCTGCACATTGTGCGGAAAAATAAAAAAAAAGACAAACCATCTTTCTCCTACCACTTCCTGTTGTCATCTTTGACGTTTTCGCCAGTAGACTCATCCAGCTGTTGGTCACGTGATTCGTGCGATGCAAAACGTGTTTCCATTGCAGCTTTGTGAAATTTTGGATACGGCTATAAAATCACCTCATCCCAGCTCTAAAACTTTTTGCTAAATTTTTGTTTTGCTTTTTTTTTTAGAAATTGGGGTGTTTTTATTCAGCAAATGTATTTTTGTAATTTCAGTTTCCACAGTCTCACGGTGGATGTCAACTCAGCTCCTGTCTCTTTCTGTGCAGACCTCAATGACCGACTCGGAGTACAACCTGGACCCAAACTGCTTGTCCCGCTGCAGCACGGAGCTCTTCTCAGAGGCCAGCTGGGAGCAGGTGGACAAGCAGGACACGGAGGTGAGCAAAGACCACCCCGTCACCACGGGGACCATCGGGAAACTCCTCCGCAGGCGGGAGCGGTGAACGGCTCTGTGTGCTTGCTGCAGGTCACTCGCTGGTACCCCGATCACCTGGCTGCTCAGTGCTACGGCTGCGAGAGCCGCTTCTGGTTGGCCACCAGGAAGCATCACTGCAGGTGAGCTGGACCCCCACTGACCACTGCTCAAAACGCCATGGGTCAGGCATGTTAAACGTTATATTTAGTCGTTTCTCCCTCTTCATTGTGTTTCATTGTGACTGTATGAGACAGGCCGTCACAAAGCAGCGCTTGGTTGTGAAGTGGAAGGAAAAATAATGCAAGGTTTTAAAAGTTTGTGAAAATAATAATGAGGGGTGTTCTTGATATCGGCCGATATTAGTCATTCACACATATATTTCTGTTTTAATTGGTCATTTTTTAACACATTGCTGTCAGTCCAATGAATAAAACCGAGATTTGATTTCGTCTTGCTGCTGTTTGGTTCTGGAAACGAGGTTCTGAGGAGGAGGCTGGTCATGTGACCAACAGTCATGCAGCACAGGATTGTGGGTATTTACCTGAAGCAGAGAAATAATAGTGAAGCCAGCTGTGTTTTTATTTTTATTTTTTTTCATTTTTGTCCAAAATGTCATTAGGCACACATTATCTGTAAATATTGACTATCAATATTGGCTCAGATTTTTTTACGGCTGCGTCTCCAATAGGTGGATTTTCCCCTCTGCTGCATTTACAGCTACGATAGTTTCATAGAAAAGCTGTCCTGCTCTTTTTGTTTCACTTCACCGATTCACTACTTTCTCTTGTTCTATCGCATAAAATCCCCTAAAAATTCATTTGATTGTCAAGGTTCAAAAAGTAAAACTGCTGTTCCAAGAATTCCCTCTAATTACTAAAGATAGATGTTATCAGACTATAGAATACGGAGCGTCTTATTGTACAAATTTTGGTTTCCTATGTCGGAGCTAAGTGCCATGGTGACTGATTGTTGGATTGAGTTGATCTGTTGTGTAGAGGCACGATGCCCTCGTATTCAGAACGATGTTTCGGTGGTTTGAAGCTGCCGTTTGAATTCATCTTCATGTCAAATATTCAGGAAGTTGTGGGTTTCTGGGGGTTTTTTTTAGATAAAGAACCATGTTTGGTTCAGGGTGTGGATTTAGAAACGGCTGGTTGTCGTCACTCCTCCTAACCCAGGCGCTGAGCAGAAAGTGTGTTGTTGCTGTGCTCATGTTTTCTGCGCTGCTCCAGCAGCTCTTACCCACCGTCTGCCCCTCTTCCTCCTCTACAGTGGCAGAGAGGCAGTCCAGGAGGTCTGGTGAGATCCCGCCCAACCCTCCCACCGCTGCACCCTACTCCTCCTTATCCTAATCCAAGCCCCTCCCCCTCACTCCCTCTGTCCTCACCTGCTCCGTTTTGGTTGATTCTTATTATTTTTAAACTGATCAGTAGCTTCACAGGGACATGCTGATTTCTGACAGCAGAGTTTTTGTCCTGCTGTTCGGTTCCACAGAGTGTTTTGTTTTTAACTGGCTGTAAGTGAAAGCATGGCGCGTGACCAGGCCAGCTGTGATTGGTCGAAGGCTGATTTTATTTTATTTTTTTCTTTCTTCTTCTTTTTTTAAGTTCATGAGAGAAATTGATTTGCTAACCAGAACAGAAGTGGACTGCCTCAGCCTCAACCCACCATAGCGGCACATCAGCATTCAGTTGCCCTGGCAGCATGCTGCCCCCCACTCACCCCTCCCCCTTCACATCTCACCCCCCCTCCCTCCGCCTCCCTCCCTCCCCTCCTCCAGATCCACAGCATGGCACCCAGAGCTGCTGCCATCACTTGGTTGGGGGAAAAAAAAAAAAAAAAAACTGGAGTCCCAGAAGTGAATTTTTTTTCTTTGTTTTGCTGCGGTTGAGTTGGGATCAGGAAGCAGTGCACCACAGTGTGTGTAGGTGTGTGTGCATGGCCTGACATCTGAATGTGAGCATGGGGATCTGAGTGTCGGCGTCTGTCTCGCTTACTGGCCGGACTCCGGTTCTCGTAAATGTTTCTCTTGTCAAACACTGATTTCAACTGATTCTGTTCTTTTCTATTTCAGAACTAGAATACAAGTATTTATTTAAAAAGATTGATTTTGCTTTAACTGTGCTACCGAGTAATAATTGTTTAGAGTTGGAGCAAAGGTAATGTTGCTCTGTGAAACGGATTATCTATTAGAAAACAAAGTAAAACTACCTGAGCAGATATTTTAAGATGTTATTTTTTCCCATTTAAATGATTAATTGTCCAAGTAATCCAGCGAGCATTACAAAAACAACAGTCTCATATAGGGCTGCAGCTAATGATTATTTTTAGTAATCGATTATTCTACCCATTAATTCATTAATCAGGAAGCCCCATTTTGATGATTGTTTTTGCCATATTTGCAATATATTAAATAAATCCCTTTTTAAAATTAAGAAATAATGACTTTATTCCTCAAAATGCAACAATATGGCATTGTTTTAGCAATGGATGCATCTGAAGCTAAAAACTGCTTCTAACGCTTGACTTATCCACATGGGGATAATAAAAATGTATGCCAATATATTATAGTTTTTTGTGTTCTCTCTGCAAATGACCCCTTTCGAATCAGTATCCTCCAGCTAATGAGTAATCAATTAGTAAACTATTTGACGATTATTTCAATAATCAGTTTATGGTGATTAATCGTTTTGGCTGAAGTCTTGTGTATCCTTACTGTCACCATGGTTTCCAACGTTCCCAAATGCTGTGTGTCCCACGCGAGACAGAAGCTCAAAACTGGCCTTAAAACTCATTCTAGTTCAAACTTTTACAGTGAAAAGTTTTATTATGGTGCGTTTACTGATCGGAAACAAAAAAAAACAAAACTTCTGATCCGGGCTATGAAGCAGAAAATGATCCGAGTCCTCTGTCCGTCTCCGTCTTTCTCTGAGCCGGTAGTTCAGCGGTTCCGCTGCTTCGTGTTGGAACATGTCGTGATATTTCACAGTGATGTTCCTGTGTGTTTTGTGTCCCTGCCTGTTTCACCATGTGTTGCAGGTCCAAACGAATGATAACGGGAGCCGCTGATGGTTCCGTGCGTGGTTTAGCCTCAGAAATGCCTGCTAGCTGAGGACGTGATCGCCCTCTGTCTCCCTCTGCAGGAACTGCGGCAACGTGTTCTGCGCCAGCTGTTGCGACCAAAAGATCCCCGTGCCAAGCCAGCAGCTGTTCGAGCCGTGCCGCGTGTGTAAGAACTGCTACAGCAGCCTCCAGCTCAACTCCGCTCCTCTCGACCTGGAGCTCGAGAAACCCATCGCGGCGAGCTCCAACTGACGGAGCGCAGATGAACCGGGTCGGGCCACCAGCCGCCGACACAAACGCACCGCTCAGGAGCACAGGAAGCTACGCAGAATGTCCCGTGTGTGTGTGGGGGTGTGTGTTGCCCATCTGGAGTTTAAAGTGTATATTTTTAGGATGACATGCTGGCTACGCAACAAGAACTCTGAATGTTGGTGTCTGGAAGGGTGTGTGTGTGTGTGTGTGTGTGTGTGTGTGGCAGTGAGGAAACGGCACTTCAAGGAGCGAGAATGGACTTCCAGGTGCCGAGAGAAGCAAGTCTCGGTGCGGAGCTCCGACGGCTCCGGCACCTCGCCGCCACCCAGAGCTCCTGCAGACTCAGCTGAAGCTTTTCCTCTGGACTGAGAAACAAAACAATCCAACAAGTGGAAAGAGAATCTCCCTGTATCAGAAATCTTCACACAAATGGTGTAAACAAATCACTGGCACCATTCAGGCTCCACTGTTTTGTTTTTTTCTCCCGGTTTGCACATTTTCCCGTCTAATCGGTTCTTTTGTTCCAAGTGAAAACTCAGATCTGAAGGCTTCTTAAAGGAACCAAACGAACTTGGTCTGGTTTCTACTGAAATGTCTTACAAATGAAAACTAACTTAAAGGTAACTTTCCAGGTTGATGGGATCTTGTTTTAAGTCTACAATTCCTTAATATTCATGGAAAAAGTGCTGGTTTCATTATCAGATGATTTTTACTGATAATAAACATTTAATCTGCCAGTGAAACTCGTACATTTTCACCCACATGAATGAATTCAAAGTCCCTACATCTTGTGGGTTCATTTCGTTCTTGTTTCAAATGTACGAAGATATTTGCAGTAGATAACTAGACCAAAACTCCTGAAGAGTTTGTGTTTTCGCGGTGTTAAAACTCTGAACCTTCAGCTCCCAGCATGTGGATTTTCACTCTGCTGGTGGAAACCCGGTCAGGAAGCGTTGGATCCCTGCTGCTCTGGGAGACCAGCAGCAGGAGGAAGGTTCTGTTTGTGAGATCAGACAGCAAAGCTTCTCTGCGGCACATCATCCTGTTCAATGACCTTCTTGCGCGCACACACACGCACACTCTTTTTTTTGTTTTCTTTTTGTAAAATAAATGAATGAAATAATATATTCAGATACCTATATAGCATTTGAGAAAACTGTATAGAATTCTTGAATAGTGGCTCATTTAATTAGTCACATTTCTTTTTCTATTTCTTTGTTCTCTTTTGTTAAAATTGCACAAAAATACCTATATTTTGCATCCTGTCAGAAGAGGAACAGGGTTGTTGTTTTTTTTTAAATAGAGAATCCTGTCTTGATGCTGCAGTGGTTTTCTCCTTTAAAAGCGATTTATTATTTGGAGGTTATTTATTAAAGAGTTGATGTTAAATTGCTGTTAGGAATCCAGATAATTCAATTGATGCAGGATAATCAGGGGGATGAGAGATGGTTTTGAACCGATTCCGACAGGCTCGCCCTTTTAGGATGAGCTGCGTTGTTTCATCCGTCCATGTGGCGGAGCGGAGGGGGCGCCATCTTGAATGAAAGTTCAGTGGATTAGCAGCGGTCGGCGTCATCTATGCACTGAGCAAACAGTGGTCCAAAACAAACAGCCTGAACCCAAAATCAAAGCATCTCACCTTAACTGCGATTTACGACTCCATTCAAACCATCTCCACACGCTACCTCTAATTGTTCACACACCTGACTTCTAGTTGCTCGGTGACTTTTGTCATCAACTAAGGCCTTGGTTTTTGACGTTGTTCAATACATTTCTGCTGTTTTGCTGATTTTTAAAATAAAAAAGGTACAGACCTGAGAGAATAGATTAGCATCCCAATCATCGTGTTTTTGTTGTTGTTTAGACATAGGGCTGGGCAATAGATACCTTCTTTTGTTTTGTTCATAAAGATTACATTTATGGAAAATCAATATATATTTATATTTTTTTCACCAATGCACTCCTTGGGTTTCCATAGGTCAGAGTGATGTCATCGTGTTTCACAAGCGCGTTTTACAGCTTCTATGAATTCAGGTCAACTTTACCACAGGATGGCGCCAGACTGCGACTTTTATTTATGAGGCCCGAGCAGCAAAGCGCTGCGAAGGCCTATTGAATTTTTAGGATTTCTTATTCAGTTTTTATTTTTCCGCCACTTTACGCGGCAGCTTGGGGCCTTTAACATGTTCAAAAACTCATTGAACTTGACCCAACGTTGTCCCCCGAGGAAAATGTTCCGATTCCGGTGGAATTGCAAGTGGGCGTGGCCAAACGGCTCGACGGTGCCCCCTAATGTGAGATGGGGGTGCATCCTAAAATGCACAGGGAGGCGGACTTTTTGGGTCAAAGGTCAAATTTTGGCCATTTTTGACTTTTACTCACATCGAACTTCAACGAACTTGTAGAGTTTTCGACCCATCAGCTTCATTCTTGGTCAGAATGCATGGGGCTTTAAAAGTTATCAAAATAATTTTCTTCTCTCATATGTTCAGGGGGCGTGGCAGAGCGGCGAACTTGGCTACTCGCCAGAACAAACGAAACGCTATAACTTTCACATAAAAAATTCAATTGGCACCAAACTTGGCATGAGTGATCCTGGTTGGATCCCTGTCGATCCTGTCACAGTCTGATGTCATCTAAGCCACGCCCCCTCTGAACAGGAAGTTACGTTTTCTTACTTGGAAATCTCCCATCTCGAGCTCTCTTGACCTAATCAAGATGATCTTGTGTGATATGACAGACAAGTTGGTCTCACTTCTTTTAAAGCTCCCAGCTAACCCATTTAACAAGCTGTCAGAGACCTCTTCATTTAAAACTGCCCCTGCAATAACACATCTCAATATGTGACGCCACCTGAAATGAAACTCTTCACTCATGTATTTTTCTCTGTTCATCTTAATGAGACGAGTGGTGCTGTTTGGTAAATGTGACTGGCCACAACAAAACATTGAAGAGGTCTACTTTGGCGTTTTGAGCTATCAAATCAAATGAAAACAACAACAGTTGTTTACCTGAAAGCAGAGCATCATTCTGAGTCACTGGAACGATTCCTCCCACCAACCTGTCCCAGTCGCTAGAACTCAACTTCCTCTGATCATCAGTCCAGTAGTTTTCTGTCCACTAGGGGGAGCCCTCGCACCACAAATGGTCGACGGACCAGTAAAACATTCATGCTTGGCACGATTGACCTTTGTTAGACGCTGAAGATCCCAATAGCTCGAATTTGCGCTTGTGCGTCATCAGGGAGCGCCGCCCAAGTCGTCGTGTGTCGCGTGGCGGGCGGCTGCGCGAGAGCGGTGGCGGGAGCCTGACGTTGCTGGAAACCCCGCGGTCGCTGCTGGGCCTCGAACGCAGCATGCGGCTATAAAATGTTATTTAATTGCAAAGTTAAAGTCCTAGTGTTACGAGAATAGGAGCGTAAAATCAGGAGAATGTAGTAATTTTACAAAATCTCCTAGAAAATGATAAAAACTTAAAATGAGGAATGTTGAGCACGTGAAGTTTCTCTAATGAGGAAAGGACGCATAAGATCTGAATTATTAACAAGACTTTGAAACAGACTAAAAAATAGGAGTCGCTTTTATTTCTCTAATATTCTGACTTTATTCTTGTCATTAAATATTCTTGTGTTCTGATCCTGATTCTGCTTCATCTCACAGAAGGTCTGGCTGAAATAAAAGCCACTTTAGGAAAATATTTGCGTTTCTATTTTCTTTGTGAGTCCAGAAAGCGAGACAATAAAACAACAAAAAGGAGCTGCTATGAAAATAAAAACCTGAGATTTCATTTCCAGTCATGTCGCCCAGCCCCACTTAGCATGAGCTAAGTGGGGCTTAGCTCATTCATGCTCGAATTCGCAAATTCGAGCATGAGCTAAGTGGGGCCCTGAACGCCTCCTGATGCGTTTGCGTGCGTAAATGAGTGGCGCGTGCAGAGGAACCGCTGCTAACAGGGCGTTAGCTGCACGTGCTTTAACTGAACTGAGCTGAGGACGTTTTTAATGTTGACATGTTTGAGATAATCCGTCATTCTCGTTCCAAACTATTTGATCACATTATAACATATTTTTAAAGCAATCGGTCGAAGGAGCCAAACAACATGAAATGTATTTTCCTGAAGCTCCTTCATCTCCCTTCACACCATCAGCAGCATCCGGGTTCCTCCCCGCTGCCATCTTCTCTTTAACAATCCATGAATGTGAACTGTATGTTGATGAATATTGCACGACATTAAGTAGACACTGCCACAGATCAGCTGTGACTGAGGAGCGCTGCGCTGCTCAGTGTTGACAGGATCATGGTGAAGCTGGTGCTGTGTGTGTGTGTGTGTGTGTGTGTGTGTGTGTGTGTGTGTGTGTGTGTGTGTGTGTGTGTGTGTGTGTGTGTGTTGGAGTGTCGCAACACACCTTTTCTTTCCCCCTCGTCCCCAGAAGTCATCTCGGTCTGCAGATGTTTGTCCTTCTCAGCTTTCGCAGAGATTCTCTATCAGAGGCTTCGCTGCAGCGGCCCAGTAATCACTGGACGTGTGTGTGTGTGTGTGTGTGTGTGTGTGTGTGTGTGTGTGTGTGTGTGTGTGTGTGTGTGTGTGTGGGGGGGTGTGTGTGTGTGTGTGTGTGTGTGTGAGAGACTGGCTGAGTGAGTGGGACTCTTTTGGTGGAGACTGGTGCCAAGCAGTTTATTACGGGTCTCTCTCAAAGGGATCAGTCATGTTTTTGGTTGGTTTTACTTCTTTTGCTTCTTCTCCTCTGTGTTTGACAAGCACTTTGAACCTTCTGTCTGTCAGAGGAGTGATTAGCTGTACATAGCAATTTCCTGTAACAACAAGTGCTCCTTGTTCAGTCTGGATATTTAGTTTTTGTTGGATTTTACTTTATAGAGCATTACATTGTTGTAGAATTCAAATGAAAAATAAACTAGCTGAACCAAAGCGATGGGTTTTATCTGATTCCTGCTTTCACCGACACACAGGAGCTGCAGTTAGCCAACACCTGGTGGAAGTGCCTGAAAGATAAATATTTATTAATCCTATGCTTCGTTCCAGTCATACTCAGAACTGGGAAACTCCAACTCCTCAGTTCAAAAGAAAAAAAAAAATGAGTTAAATAAACAGCAACGCTCTCCAAAGTCTGAGGGCTCAAATTGCAACGTTTCTTTCATATATACAGCACAATCAAGTGCTATAAAATGGCACTGTCCCTTTAAGGGTTCTCCAGGTGTGGATGCATTATATAAAAACATCTACGTTTCTTTGTCTGTTCCAGCCATATTTGTTAGTTTGCCATTCATCTGTTTATTCACCATTCAACTCATTTATCCACTTACTCATCCATTCATCTGTTGGTCAATCAATCTATTGTATTTGGTCATTAATTTTTCAAGTCAAACATCGGCTGCAAAGCTTCAGTTAACTTGTACATTTCTAGCTACACAAAAGTCTGGAGTCATGTTGAAACCCTGTGAATATCTGCTGGTGAATCAAAGACAACAACAAATCCTTTGATCGGGTTTAATGTATGTTCTCTTGTACAGCTTTAGAAATCAAGAAAATCTTAAGTTACTAACACCAATGCCTACTTACTGTCAAGTGGATTACATGACAAAAAGAGAACAACCAAGAAAAAGAAGCAAGATCCAAAAGCAGCTAATGCTTTATTAAGTAAGTCATGCTCACTGATGTTGAAGAGTGGAGGTGTTCTTATTGGCCCAAAGAAACAATACGGGGAGAGGGGAGGTGGAAACCCTCCTGACAGTTACTAGACTTTATATCACAGCACAGAAACGGGACATCTGTACCACAATCGGCAGCGGCAGCGGACTAAGAGCAAGCTGAGGCGGCTGGACCTGCTCGACTGTCCAGCAACGTCCAGCTTCAAGACGCAGAGCTGCATGTTTCTTTATTGTAGATTTGCTTAAAAAAAAAAAAACACCACAAAGAACACTCTGAGCAAAAACATTGCTTACTTGTTTTAAGGCCGGACAACAACGGTCAATAAAGCAGTCATATGCATGTAAATATCAAAGGCTAGTTAGTGAAGAGGACCTTCCAGTTTGGTCTGAAGTAAGAAGACTGGTCATGTGACGAGAGCAAGTCTGTAACTCCTGTTCAAACCAATCTCCTGTGCAAAGAGTTGCCCCTCAGAGAGCTTTCTCAAGGTAAATAAAATCTGGTCTCACTCTCAGAGCAGAGAGAGAAAAAAACAAAAAACACCTTAAAGTCATAATTCATAATGAGAGGATTATATTGTCTCTTAGCCAACAACATTACGAATCTCCCTGCAACATCTTTAGAAACTCTTTTTAAAAAAAATAGACATGGCTTCACCAGCCGACTGTTCCCTTTATAAAAACTCACACGTATATGTACAGCGGATTAGATAAGAAAAGATTCTCACAACCTGGAGAACAGCGCCACCTCCCTGTCAACCAGACCTACTGCGGGGTAATGTCCATGAAAGCACATGTTGGAACGAGGATTGTCACAGGAGACTCGTGTCGCTGCGGTGTGACTGAACCAGGAGCTCAGGCTGCAGTATGTACAGGCGATGGCCTCAGACATGGTGGATCGCTGTGCTTCCACTCACACTGGAACCAGGGTTTTAGTCACTAGCAGCATGGAGGACTCACACTGATGACTGATCCCAGACCTGCAAACCAGCAACACAGAAAAATATGATGATCCCTAGGGCATGACAGAAAATAATTGAGAAACACTGAATTACTGTAACATGACATTACAGAGGAGCACATCACATCGCTTGCTGATGTCGGTGGGGGGAGGGGGACTCGCTTGCCGCAGACGACAGAATGAACTCAGAATGACAGAATGAAGCTCAAAAGTTTTCATGTCTCTTGAACCTTTACAAATTTTGAAGAGCTGGAAGAAGTGGCTGGGGAGAGGGAGGTCTGGAGCTGCTGCCCCCGTGACCCGACCCTGGATGAAGCGGAACAAAATGGATGGATGGATGGACGGACGGATGGGCTGTACAATAAAATATATGTGAAGGCTGTACAGTAAATCAATAACCATATATATTGCGATAGATGTGTGGTCAATATCAGTAGGTAATATGTCTGATAGAATATTCAATGAACGCCGATCCAGAACTGCACAGCATTCTGGGAGAAAAAGTTTTGCAATTTTAATACAATTCTTCTCTGGTTGTGGTTGAACTTTTGCAAAAGGTCAACATGTCTGAGGTTCTGTGCTTCATGTTGCTGGATTCAGGATGTCTCAGTTGTTTTCTGCTGTTGTCACTTCATGTAACACATGGCAGCCTGTTTTCAGAACCACTGGGATCCCACCATACAGACCTTGTTAACGGGGGCTAGCTGTGTTCGGACGGACCCGGCGTGGAGTCGAGTGCTGTCCCCAAATCTCCCAGGAGACCGCTCCCTGCGACTGTCCAGCACCCTGCCTGGGGACTTCTCTCTGTCCAGGGGACGAGCAGGAGACTTGTCTCGTCTGAACTCTGTGCGACCCTCCCGGTAGCGGTGTGGGGTGCTCGGCTCCCGGTGCAAACCGTCATGGCTGCCGGGGCCTGAAGTCAAGCGCTTGGTGATGTGCTCCGTGTAGGTGGGGGGGCCTCGCTTACTGGGGGAGCTGCAGAGGACAGAGCAGAGAGAAACGGCTTCACTGCCTCATCACCGTCCTGTCAGATACTAACTTTAGATTTCAGTCAGGTGACCTTTGACCCACAAAAATGTTGATGATTAAAAAAAAATAAAAAAATACACCTAACTTGGTGTTAGGTGGCTCAGCATTGTCATGGACACAGTTGGGTTGGATAACAAAATAATAATATATATCTTGATAAACATGTGATTAGTATCAATCGATTATTCGTTCAGCAAGCTTGGTGGCATCAATTAACTCACTTCTTGGTTACCGAGCAAAAAACTTTTGAGTAACTTGCACAGCAGCAGTTTAGTAGTTTAATGAGTACTTAAAATAAGGTGGAGGCGCTCAATCGTTTTTCATTGACTTCCTGTCTCACTGTCAGCAACGATTTTAACAAGTCTGCAAGAAAACTTAAGTTTGTCACAGTCACATAGTGTGGCTGTGTGTTGTCGACTGACCCTCTGCTGGAGCCGGTCCTCTGCAGCTCTCCAGACTCTCTGATCAGGCTTCCCTTGCAGCAGATGACCCTCAGCTTGCTCTGGTAGGAGGAGGCCAGGTAAACGGCTCCGGAGGAGATGGCTGGGCCAAGGTAGCGCGGGTTGGGAATGTCCAGGTGGGCCAGCACCGCCGGGCTGGAAACATGAAGAGAGTTTTAAGAGCTTCTAGCTGCCAACAAGCACAAAGACTTTCCGTTGAGTTATGAAGTGATGATCTGCCTCACCACACTGCTGCGTGTCCCTGGACTTCAATCACATCCAGGGAGTTGAAGTAGGTGACAAACAGGTAGGGTTCTCTGTAGGCTGCATTACAGGACACACAAACGTATTCGACGTGAAGATGGACGGAGCTCAGAGAAAAATTAAACCAACGAGACAAAAGTTGCTTTTACCAAAAGACAGAGGCACGCGGCTCCACTTGATTTCATCGGTCCGACTTCTTCGTCCGTACGAATCCACGAAGAAACCGAACTCTGTCGCAAAACATTTGTTGCAGCCACAGGAAATAAAGTAGTGATGCTTATGTAGACAACAGACACCAACAGTTCACTGAGAAAATGTTGAAAAACATGACAAGCTGAGAATTTCTCATTGTGATGGTTTGATCATCCATGACATTGATAATCGATTTATCGGTAATAATTTATCACAATAAATAAATAACGTTAGAGAAAAAAAAACTGGCCGTATTATTGGAAGTATTTTTTTTTGTTGGCATTTTCTCCATTTCACCAGAGCATCAGTAAATTCAAAAATATTATTTTGAATGGGAATATTTTTCAAGAGCAGTCTTGTGTTTGTTGTACACTTTTACATCCCAATTCACCTCGAAATGTTTGAAGCTTCAACAGTATTCAACATTTATCTTTTTGATTCCTGTCAACACTTAGCATATAATTTCATTCAACTGGCAAATACATCAAATTTATCTCACTTAGAGTTTTGGCTCTCTCTTCTTCTGACAGTTTTTTTGAGGCCAAAGTTGATTCTTTCTTTCCTCCCACGAAAAGCAACATTCTTAGCAACCTTTCCTCCTGTGTGTGAAGTTGTTCTAATGCAAAGTGGTTGTGGGAAAGGAAATGATTTCAGGCCCATCTGCTCCTGTCACTTCTACCGGGTCATATCAGATCCAGTAGTAATTCATACACATTTTTAAAAAAACATTTACTTGTATGGATATTGTAAAAAAACAAAAAACAAATTTGCCTCCCAGTAAAAACTCAGTGAACCTATCATGTTTTTATAAACCTCCGCATTGTGTGGGGTTCCATCAGTTCCTGGTGACAGTACGGTGTGTGTTTGAACTCACCATGGAAACAGAGAAGGTATTCCTCCTTCTGCATGCTGCTGGCCACCTGTAAGATGGCGATGGGGAAGCTGTGAGAAGAGGCTGCGAACACGGCCGAGGCCAGCGACACGTCGTTCTTGTCCAGGAACTCTGCAGGACGGGAGCAACCAGAGAGATGCAGTGTTACCCTGCAGTCTCCAGAAGAGAACACACACACACACACACACACACACACACACACACACACACACCCCACACACACACACACACACACACACACACACACACTTTGTTTGCATTCTTACCCTCCAGCACATATTGCTTCATTTCGATCTCATAGAACTTGTTGGTGCCAATAATGATGCTGTAGCTGGTCAGATGGATGCAGCTGCAAGGCTCCAGAGTTTCAATTTCCTGTCAGTTGAGAAATGTTGGCGCACAGAATGACAAGAAAATGAAATGAGAGTGAGGCCAGACGTTATGGACTGAAGTCAAATGGAAGGATTGTAATGTGTTGGAAAAAT